AAAAAAAAAATCAAACAATTCCCTCACCCCTGCTGTCTGAGAATGAGCATGCAGGGAGTGGTGCTGTTTTGGTTATTTTCATAGCAAAAGTCTCCCTGACAGGCTCTCTAGGAGCTGGGCCAGGATTCTTTGAAGAACAGGAAGCCTGGTTTGTAACTCTAGCAAGGACCGAGGCTTGCAGAAAGAAGTCTGTGCACTGCTATCGAGACTCTGTCCCATGATGTCCATCAGATTAAAGAGAAAAGGAAAAAAGCACAGAACTGTTCCAGGTCAGTGTACCTGCAGAGTTCCAGGAGTGACTGCAGCAAGGTCACCTATACTTCAGTGATTGGAGAGGGACAGCTTGATGGCCAAGCTTGAAGCCACCACTTTCTTTTAATGTAAATGGATTATCTAAAACTAGCAACTTTAGGACAGACATGGTGGTGAGTGCCTGTAATCTCGGCACTCAGAGGCTGAGGCAGGAGGATCGCTGAGTGACTGAGGCCATCCTGGGCTACATTGTGCATTCAAGGCCTGCATGAGGTGCAGAGTAAAACCCTGCCTCAAAAAGATAAATAAATACATAAAGTAACTTTAAAGATTTTTTTTAAGGAGTGTCAGAACTCTCTTTCCTTGCCAGTATTGAAAAAAAATACTATCCAAGGTCCGGCCTGATAGCTCAGCAGACAAAAGCTTTAGCCTGCTTAGGCAGAGCGCAGCAACTGGGGTTTGATCCCCAGTGTGTCATGCTGGCCCTGCCCCCAGGGCACACTGAGACAGCGAATGAGACTGGGTGTGGTGATGTGCACCTGTAATCCCAGCACTTGAGAGGCTGAAAACAGGAGAATCACTACAAGTCCAATCTGGGTAGTGAGACCCTGTAGACCCTGTACTAAATACATAAGTGAAATAAAAGATAATATCCCCTTTAAATATCTTTGTATCATTAATTGTTTTAATGATGTCTTACTCTGTAAATCTTACTGTCACATCCAGGGGTGGGCAGCAAACCATTGGTCTGCTGTAAAACACAGCTCCTGTGATCCTAGACCCAGTGTCAGTGAAGAACTCAAGAAGCAGAATTTAAAATAAAAGAAAATTGATTACAGGCAGCTGCTCTGGATGAGGAGGGAGTATTTGAAGGTGAAATACTTGGATTTTTGTCCTCAGCTTTTTGTTTGGGATTAGTGATTTCTTCCAGCCCCACAGGCACCTGGAAGTTGATACCATCTACCTGCCTTTCTAGCTATCTTGGATCCTGTTATGGTTTGTGTCTGGATGTCCCCCCAAAGCCTCATGCAGTCATGAGGGAGCCTTCTAGAGTTTTTAATTGATTTATTGTCCAATGCTGGGATTATGGGTGTGTGTTATGCCCACCCTGGTGTGGGTAGCTTGCATGCAATAGAAGGAGGGAAATAGGCCTGCTCTCTGCCATTCCTCCTTCTTTGCTCTTGCTGCTTTTGCTGTTTCTGTCCCCATGAACTGTTGTCCTCTGCCATGTGCCACTCTACCTTGGAGCTAACTGATTATGGCTTGAAACCCTTACAAACTCTGAGCTAAATAAATGTTTCCTTCCTTAACTTTGGGTGTTGGGTATTTTGTCCCAGCAAGGAGAAATAAGTAACCAAGACACATCCTAACCTGGGTGGCTGTCTATATTCTATCTGGCCATTTGATTTCTTCCTGCCTCTTTGTGATGGATGTGTGTGTGTGTGTGTGTGTGTGTGTGTGTGTGTGTGTGTGTGTAGGACTTTCAGGAAGGTAGCACAGAGTTAGTGATTGAGTAGAGGGGATGCCTGTGCTCTCTATATTAAATAAGAGTCTGTAGGAGGGTGCCCCTTACCTGTTTTGCATTCTATCAGGTGGTTGCCCTGGTCTTTATGTTTCTGGCTTTCTCAGTGTTAACTCTTGATATATTTTTATGGTAATTGTGCTTCTTGGTGCCTCCATCAGTCTAGTTTTTCTCTCCCTCCTTTGCCTTTCTGATTGCTCTAATTGCAGAGTCTACCTGTAGAGGCAGAACCTGTTTTTAGTAAGTTTTCCTATTGATTTTTAAAATAAAGCTCAATGAGATTCTATCTTATCCTTTTTCCTGCCTATAATCCCTTGCTCCTACATTCTCAGCCAGAAAATTAATAGAGAAAAAAATTACTGAAGGAAATAATATATTCTTGGACTCATTAACCAAAAAAATCACTGTTTTTTTTCTTTTGTTGTTGTTTTTCTGAAAAAGAAATTTAAAAGGTGTCTGGTTCTTTTCCAAAGAGGATTTTGAAAGGAACATAATGGATACAAGGTGACAAGAACAGAAATCATTTGATAAAGTAACTTTAGTGGGCAGTAGCTAGTTTGCTGAATGTAGCTTACTAACTCTACTGATCTCAAAAAGGAAGAAAAGTTATTTGACATTAATAAAAGATGTATATTCAGTGCAGAATTGAAATGAGTCAGTTAGCACATGGCATTCTAGTTAAATTATTTTCCCTTTATATTTAGATCTTTCTCTGGAATTAAAGGACATCAGCTGAAAGTTAACCTCCAACCCAATGTTAATTATTTGTTCTATGTGAGAGCTATCAATGCTTTTGGGACAAGTGAACAGAGTGACACTGCCCTCATCTCCACCAAAGGTATTTCCTCCTTCATGTGAGCATTTCATTCCTTCCCTCCTGTAACCCTTAGCTTCTGAAGATGCCCAGCCTGCTGCCAGCCGAGGATTTTGCGCTGAGGCTCCAAGACTGGTCAAGGGTCAAGATATTTCTGTTATTTTTTTGTTCAAAACATAGTACACCCTGCCCCAGTCAGGAGAAATGCATCGAGCTGACCTGGAGATGAGCTTGCAGCTTAGGGGTCTTCCCACATGCTTTGCCTGTCCCTTGCCATGTATGCTGCCTATGAGCATGGAGTGTTGCATGTGCAGGGACAAGGAAAGACCTAGTGTGTCATACTGAGGCCCACAAACAAGTCTCCAGTCTCATTCTGTTTATTCTGGTTTGTGAGAATTAGTGTGTGTTGAATGAATAGCTCAAAACAGTGATAAAAATGTTCATTTTGGGGAAAACTCGTATGATGTCAGCAAAAAAAACTTATTTGGCTGTCTTGGTTGTTGTCCAATAAAGTGAAAAATGCAAAGGTGAGCATTTTGTTAACTTATCCTAGATATAGGGATAGCACAAGACTGAGGCATATTATGTCATTGTTCCCAGACCTCGTCCTTGTTTGGGATGCAAGCAGGGCAGCCTGGTGCTAGGGATGAGGGCTCCTACCCACACCCATGAGTGTTTTCCCCATATGCCTAGAAAGGCACCCAGAAGGGATGGAGGCTGGCTCAGGTACATGGGTGGGGCCTGTGTGCTGGCAGCAGGTGAAGCGAGTGCTAGTGGCTTGGCAGAGTGAGCCTCAAACGGATGCTCTGGTAGCACAGGTAGTGATCAACCCACACGGATCTCCTCAGCATGAGGGAAATTTTTAGCTGTGAATCTAAAAGCACTGTAGAGAGTTCTGATGTCGTGGGAAAGGAAGGCCAATCCTGAAATGTGGGGCAGTGGCCATTGTGCCAATGGTATCCTATTTTTCTCAACTGTTGTAGGAACCAGATTTCTGCTATTGAGAGAGACAGCTCATCCTGCTCTGCAGATCTCCTCTGATGGGACAGAAATCAGCTTCACTGAGAGGAGGCGACTGACAGAGTAAGTTGAGCGAGCAAGGTAGGTGGGTGGGCAAGGCTGCAGTGCCCCGGGAACCTCCACGCATATTCCTGGTGCACAGGTTGTGCTTGGATGTGGCTTGAATACAAACCTGAGCACACCTCACCTGCAAGCCCTCATAGACGCTGCCAGAGTAGGGAGTGGCAGGGACAGTTCACAGCTTGAAGTGACCATCAATGTTTTTACTGGGAGTCAGTTGGTTTTGTGTAAAACACTGGCTCTCTCAAGCTATTATGTCTGGTTCAGTGAAAAACACCATGCAGAAATAATTCTACTATTTATAATAGCAAATCAATTGTATCAACCACGTGAAAAGGAATAACAGGGAATTTGAGTTCCAATTCTGGCCAGAGAAACTCACCTCACTGTAGTTCTCCCAAAAAGAAAATCAAAGAAAAGAACCAAAAGCTGAGGACATGGTAGGAAGCAGAGCTGGAACTTGCCTGTAGCCTCTCATGGTTATTTCAAGGGTCAAAATGGCCAAATGGAGGAAAATATGGAGAATCCCCAGCATGCCCCTGTGGGTGCCAGTGCAGCTAGGGCTGCACCTGGTTGCCTGCAGGGCAGGACTAGCACTGCGTCTGCTCAGTCGCTTCTGTGGCTATGGCTCTTGCTCCAGGAAATGGACTAACTCTTGCTGGGCCCAGCACCCTGAACTTAGTCTGTACAAAGGAGCTCACAATTGTAGTCATTCACCAGCTACTCAGTTGAGAACAGCTGTCAAACAGCAGTCCTGAGTTTTCAGAATCTAGCGTGGACTCCGGACATTGGTGAATGCTAAATATATACATATGACTGGGTTCATAGAAAAAGATTTAAGAAATAAATTGGGCTTTTCTATCCATTTTTGGTTTCTCAAAAAAAAATATCAAAAAGAAAAGAAATTGGTTGGAGGTTGGCAGTAGTTCATAGATGATGACTGATGAAAACTGTGATATATTTGATAGAATTTTGTTTACTTCTTATTAACCTGAAAATTAGCTCATAAATATCAGGCAGGAAGGCTTTGCTCCAGGGAGTAAGCCTCATCTATAGTCACCTCTTTGAAATGAGTTGTTGGGCAAAGATGAGAAAATGAGATACATGCCTGTCCCTTGTATTAATCATTTCTCTCATCTATTAAAAGGGAGCAGGAGAAGGTGCTGACTGAGTATTACTCTGGTGAAATTAAAAAATACTTCCTTGCTGTCTCATCCTTTTCTTAACAAAACTGAGCAAATCACACAAACAAGACTGCCCTCCACAGTGGGTGCACTTGGGTTTGCTGTGCTGTGCTTGTAGTAAAGACAGCTACGGTGAGACTGAGACTCAGACTAATCTCTGTGAGAGCCCCCTGGGATTTGGAGGGCAGAGTGTGAAGGGTGGACCACAGCTGGACAGAGCCCCACCCACTTGCACATGGCCACCTCTATTCTCTCCACCCTGCCCTGCCTTTGAAGAGCTGCACCTAGTATTGTCACTGTGCCCAGGAAGCCTGCTATATAGGAAGGCTGTGGAAATTTGTCTTTGCAAGTCTTGGAAGAAAACTTTGCAAGTCGGCTTCCTGCCTTCTTCCTAAAAGCAGAGACAGTGCTGTTTTTTTTCTTCTGGCCATTATTCTAGTGGTTTCTTGGTGCCTGGCTCCTTTTGGAGAGGCAGTGAGCCATATGTGCAGGCTGTGTGAGCCAGTAGACCAATGTCAAATGTGTGCTCTGGTTGGGGTTTGGAATGCAGTGAACGGAGAATGACTTGAGCCCAATTTCAACAGTTTTCAAGGTGAAATTCTGCATAAAGGGAGTGTGAGGTTGATATGGCTGCTCAGGGGTAATGGGTAGCGATTCCTGTGCTGAGATTAACCTGATCAACTTTGCAGAATTCCATCAGTGCTGGGTGAGGAGCTGCCTGCCTGCGGCCTGCATTACTGGGAAACCACAGTCACCAACTGTCCTGCTTATCGACTTGGCATCTGCTCCAGCTTGGCGGTGCAGGCCAGGGCACTAGGACAGGGGGAGACCTCATGGTACATGCACTGCTCAGAACCACAGAGGTAAGCTGGAGCCCCACCTCTCCTTATGTTATTCAATGATCTCTACCTAGTAAGGAACATTTCCCTTGCCCAGATTCTGAGTGATACTAAGAGTAAAAAATACACAGAAACTGAGGGTTGGCCTGATAGCTCAGTGGACTAAAGCACCTGCTTAGGTAGAGTACAGTGGTCGGTGTTTGATCCCTGGTGTGCTGTGCTGGCCCCACTCACAGGGTGCACTGAGACAGCAATTGAGACTAGGCGTGGTGGCATGCACCTGTAATTCCAGCACTTGGGAGGCAAAAAATAGGAGAATTTCTATGAATCTGATCTACTTAGTGAGACCCTATAAACCCTGTAAATCTTTTTTTTTTATTTTCAAAGTTTTATTGATAAACATATAGCAATGAGACAGTTTCAAATCAAATCGAAAGTACAGTTTCAACAAATAATACACTGCATATATTCTTCTTAGTGGTTAATTGCTGTACAAGATGCAGACTTGTGATCCTACTTACAAACACCATTAGAAAAAATCATTCTATTCATTAAGAGAATGCAACTATATATCTATCCCAACCACTTTGAATACACAGATACAAAATGGACATTCATAGTTATACCCCAATTTTTTTTTAAGTTCCGTTGTTGATTATTATAGGTGTGTAAACTCAGCAAAATATTCTAAAAGAGTACAGAAGCCCATAATAGCATTGGGTCTTCTGTTTAATTGGCAATGTCAGAAATTATTGATGTGAGTCCCCCACAGCTCAACATAACAACATGGCTTTACTTCCTATATTTCATCTTCATACTTTTCTACTGGATGGTTAAGACCAAGGTAAAGCAGAACCTATGCAACAAGAGTTGTAGCTTTTTGGTTTGAGAAGGTCAGTGAAATGCCCTCAGGATTTATCCTGAGGTTTTTTTTTTTTTAAATTTTTTATTTAATCTTTTCCTAAATACAGAAAAAAAAGTTTAAAAAAAAATTCATGGAACCTACTAAGGAAAGTGGTTTCATAGAATGTGGCCCATACCTAAGGGCAAGAGAGTTTCCTATATTGAATGATGCTATTGGGCAGATAGACCCACCCAGGAGTCTGGTGGTGTGTATCTCCCTCCTTGACCCACAACTGGTCAAGGAAGGGGCAGCTGGGCTATGCATGGCCAGTTTTTCCTTCTAAACTCACCCTAAAGTAGAGAGATGCCACCAGGTGATGCTAAAAGGGCTCACTCTCAAAAACAGAATCCACAGAGGGAGGGAGAGTTAGGTGTCCAGCCCTTCTCCAGGTACTGGTCTATGCTTGGGGTTGGCAAACTGCTGCCCATGGGCTGGCATTTCCAAGGAAGGGATTCCAGGGGAACACATGGGGCAGTGGTAAGAGAAAGACAGGAAGGGGAGCCAGGCAGCATTTGTTTCATGGGTGGCACACTCTTCCTTGGAGCATGAGGCTTCTGTAAGGACTCCAGCCACACTGCTATCCTCATCATTGCCACACGAAATGCTGTGTGGCTGCAGTCTCCAGAACCTTGCAATGTCCTGTCATCCTTCTCATTCACAGGCTTTGAAAGTCCTTGCCATCTGTGCATCTCATGTCCCATGTTCTGAACCTTCATCTCGCCTCATGAGCTCTTTGCATGTAGCTGATGACTTGTCATCCTCCAAATGCTTGAATTTCTGGGCCTTAGGATGACATCATAGGCCTGAATGTCCCTGGTCACTGTTGCCTGAGCACTTGCCAGATCTCAAGACCTCTGACAGGCCTATGGGAGTGTGACTCCCCCTCCCATAGGCCTGTTCTGCAGAGAGATTTCTCAAGCATCTCTTTTCTTCCATCTCTCATTTCTTCTCTTCTCTTGAAGTCAGAGCCTCTTGTCAGTTTCTAAGAAAGCCCTTTTTGGCAATTAAGCGTTTCAGTAACAGTCAGCAATTTCTCCCTCTCAGCCTTGCCTTGAACTTCCTTTCATAACCAAAGCAGTACACTAACCATGTGGAGTAAACATTGAGCAGTGTAAGCCCTGGCTGTGCTTTTCAGCCCTCATTCTGCTTTCACTCAGCGACAGTTCTTCCTGTTTGCTCTGCAGTGTGAGTTCCTCTGTAGTCCTTCGTGTCCTCCAGACTGCCCAGAGATGTACCAAGTACACAAATGTTCCCTAGGAATGTGAGTTGGGTTTACTCAAATTAAAAAGAGAAAACAAAGGCCTTGCCCTCTGGCTGCGAAGCTGTGGAAACATGGAGGAGGTGGGGCAGGGGGAGTGTATTCAAAGCATGCGGCTGGCAAAATAATGAAATCTTAAAACTCATAAAGTCCCTTATGTAAGTTACCTATAAATCTTTAAAACTGTAAAATTAATGTATTGTATGGAAGGAAATCCTTTGTAAAATACATAGCAGCCTCCAAGGAGTTTTATTCAAAAGAATGACACACCATGAATGCAGAAGTTGAAACATGTGGGAAGCTGGGAAAGAATTAGAATGTTGAGAAAAATCACAAGGGAGGCTTGTGTTGGTTATTCTAGGACAACTTCCTAATGTAGAAGAAGAAAATTACTCCAAGTCTATTGGGATGAGCTATGGAGGAATCTGGGAAAGTATTTGGAACAACTTTATTGCAACTTGTTATTTTTCATTGAAGCTAATGACTGAAAAATCAGTTATTTCCAAATGATTTTCCTCTCCAAATTCTTCCAGATTTCCAAAATTCTAATGTTTTGCATTTGCCTTGTTTCAGGTACACATTTTTCTATAGTGGCATTGTGAGTGATGTCCAGGTGACTGAGCGCCCTGGCCGCGTGGGCATTCTGTTGGACTATGCTGGCCAGAGGCTCGCGTTCATCAATGCAGAGAATGGGCAGCTGCTGTTCCTCGTGAGGCACGGATTCAGCGAGGGTGTTCATCCAGCCTTTGCCCTGGAGAAACCTGGAACATGTACTTTGCATCTGGGGATAGAGCCCCCAGATTCTGTAAGGCACAAGTGATCCTTAGCTTCCGCAGTGTGTGAGAGCAAGACCTTCAGGTCTGTGGTTCCCTCTTTCAGGTGTTGTTCCTACCTCAGAAGGTCTCTCACATACTCACACTTAGGACAGCAGTATATACATCAGTCAGCAAACAAGCAAATGCCAGAGCAAAGTGTACATAGAAGGAGGGAATGAACAACTTCCACTACTTCAGAGCTGTTTTCTAGGTTGAAAGGACTTAGACTTGTCTTGCAAAGCAAAAATAGAGAAGTGGGCTTTCTCCTGATTTATCCTGCAAGAACTCTGGTGGGCAGATGAGTGTGTAAGGAGCGCTTCCTAGAGACCTCTCCTCCAGGCTTTTCAGAACTTGTCATTGCACTTCAGTAGAGGACAGTGAATCCTTAATCATTAGAAAAAGTATTCTAGTTGATCTACATTTATAATTAACTCTTTTGTAATAATGTATATTGTAGAAAGTGAGTCTTATAGAAGTTTTAAATGTAGAAAGTACTAAACATTACAATGTCTATTTTGTTAAATAAATGGTTAGGCTCATCAAACTGCTGTGTGAGCTTTTTGCACGTGACTCACCAGCCTGGCATCTCTGGACCAGGAAACCTGCGGGAGCCATGCCTGTCTCATGTCAGTGGGTTGCACGGCCTCATTTTCATGTAAAAATGTTGCACACACATTTTAAAATTGAAACATCCTCAGGCCACAGAAGCCATGCAGTTGACTGTAAAGTAAACTACCGGTATTTGATAATGTCCTCTTACTTTAAAAAAAAAAAAAGGAGCTGGTCATTTTTAGGTATATTAAAATCTCTCAAAATCTCCCAGAAGTATGTGTAAAGAGTTGAAAAATTGAGACTCCATGTTGAGGCCATTGTTCTTATTCTCTATAATATAAATGCTTTGATCATGTGTATAGCTTTCTCTCATTCCTGTGAATTCTGAGAAATAATATCCTACTTTTGGGATGTATTCTAAAACAGCCAAGCTGGATCTGAACCTGCATTAGTAGAGATCCTGGAAAACCTCACCACATTGCTGTAAAGTTGGGGAGCTGTTGGCGTGATGGATGCTTTGTGAATCTGCAAATAGCTGGCTGTGGGTGGAGAGAGTTTCCCTTTCTCAAGCACTGAAAGGGTTACTTCTGGGTCTAATTGATCAGCCACCCCTGCTAGTTATTACTTTTGGGGTTGTCAGGAATGTAAAGGAATTGAAAATATCACAGCAGTAATAGAAAATATAATATGACTCTTGGAATTTGTCTCAGTTTTGGCTCCTCTGAAAGTAGACCTGGTAATGATTTGGTGCTGGTGTTTGGCAGAGGAGAGGATTCCAGGGCACACGTGGGGTGGGGGAGGGTAGAGGGAGACAGGAAATGGGAGCCAAGAAGCATTTGTTTAATGGGTGGATCATTACCACTGTAGGCAACTGGGCTCCATCCTGCTAGGCACCCCTCTGGAAACCACAGGAATATACTGAAGGCTGGCATTTAACCAACCCTAATGGGTGAGGACCATCTGGAGAGGATCATTCCACTCCCCTCACCCCATCCAGGTTGCATACCCTGAAAAAGTTGAGAATCAATGAGTAGAAAGGAGAAAACTATAGTAATGAGGAGGTCCGGGCCTGCATTGTGTCTGAGCCTTTACTAGATTATCATTTTGGGCAGTGTAGATCAGATCCCTCCCTCCATCCCTTCCTCTTTTCTTTCCTCCTTCCCCTTTTCCCATTTTTTCCTTTCCTTCTTTGCTCCTTCCCTCCCTCCCTTCATTCCTCCCTCCTGGCCACCTTCTGTTCCTTCCTCCCTCTCCCTCCTTCCCTCCCTCCTTTCATTGGGGATCAAACCCAGAGCCTCAGGCACATTAGGCAAACTTTCTGCCACTGAGCTATGCCCTCAGCACAAACTCAGAATCTTAGTTATGCTTTTGTTTACCTTTTCCTCAGGATAATTGTAAACATGAGATAAACTGAGCACATGGAAGGGGTGAAGATTTTGTCATATGTAAGGCATGACAAGAACTATAGAGGTCCTCTGGGTCCAGCCTCCCATACCTGCAGTGAGGCTCCCCCCTGTCTCCTTACTCTGTGCAGGTAAATGGTGGGAGGTAGGATGTTAGGATCCATGCTTTGCCTGTCTCTACTGAGTGATACATTTCCTGGTTGGACCTTAGTGGATTGGTCTAATGTGGACAGACAGGGATAACTGAGTGCAGTTCCTCCGTGGCCAAAAACCTTTTTCCTCCCTGGCCCTTCTCTGATTTCCATTTTCCCTTCTTTTCTCTTCACATAACATAGAAGAAAGAAAGTGTACGTAATTTGGTCAAAGTTGCTCCTCTGAACATCTTTCAGTGGTGTTTACCAACTTAGTAGTGTGTATAGTACGTGGATTCTCTCAGTCCTCATCAGAATTGTGCACAGTGAAAACTGCTGTCATTTTATAGATTAGGAAACTACAGTGGCCTCAAAACAGCTCAACAGCAGTTCACTGCCACAGCCGGCAGGGGCAGAGCATGGCTCACGTATAACCCAGAACCTAGTTAAGAGTAAATCTATCTGTTTATTTTTTACTTTTTCCACATGTATGGTGTGTAAGAATTACACATGTGTGCACACAAGTTTACGTAAGTATACATACATTCATGTGTATTCTCTTTCCCAGGAACTGCTTTCCCAAGCCTCTGGGATACTTAGATTTTTTGTTTAATCCAGTGACTCTAATTCATTTATATTCAGAATCATTTGCGCATGGAACTTGAAAATTCAAGAGTCTGCAGCATTCTATTTGTGGAGAAAAGACCTTACATAATGAAACCACATTGCTTCTTCTAAGAGGTGTGGGGTCCAGATAAAGGAGGCTTTGAGAAAGAAATGAATGCTAGTGTGGTAGTTTTTTCCTGTCTTCTTTTATCTATCTATCTATCATCTATCTATCTATCTATCTATCTATCTATCTATCTATCTATCTATCTATCATCTATCTAT